TGATCTGGGCAGTCAGAAGCTGTTATAATATGCTGATTAAGAAGTTAAGTCACAGGGTTAACAATTGGCCTTGGAAGATGATTTGGAAGACAAACGCTCCGGTCAAGGTGGCATGCTTTGGCTGGATAGCAACCTGGGAAGCATGTTTGACACAAGATATTTTGCAAAAAAGGGGTTTTAATCTAAGTAATAGATGCTATCTGTGTGAAGGAGTTCAAGAATCAGTGAATCATATTCTTCTCCATTGTAGAATTGCTAGACAATGCTGGGATTTATTCTTAAACATTTGTGGTATCTCTCAGGTAATGCCACAGACTGTTAGGAGTTTGTTGGAAGAGGGCAAAATCAAAGAGTACCTAGAAGACTGAAGCAAATGTGGAAAACCATTCCAATGTGCATATTCTGGACTTTATGGCTGGAAAGGAACTGTGCTTGTTTTGAAGGACACAAGGATCACATTTTTAGAATTAGAAACAAATATATTAACAACTTGTTTTATTGGTGTAAAAGCAGTGTACCAATGGAACAACAATAGTTTATTGATTTTCTGGATTTACTAGGAGGCCCGCACGAGATGTTTGTTTTTGGGGTGCTCTTTGTAACTTTTTGTACCATCTTGGTACCTTATTAATGAAACTTTTACCTGTTACCTTATTAATGAAACTTTTACCTGTTGATTATTATGATTCAAGGAGATTTGATTTGATTTGATAGCTAGATTTATTGTATAGATCTATTTTATTTCCTTAATTAACATTAGGAGCTTTGTATAAATTTTCTTGCTCATGGGATGTAAACACACACACAAATACAAGAAGCCTTTTCTTTTCTTCTCAAAATCTACATGGTATCAGAGCAAGCTGAGGTCCTAGGTTCGAGTCTCACTGCCACCCAATATCAAAAAGAATTTCCACGTGCTTGACTCATCAAGTCCGCACGTGCACAACATAATTAAGTAAATAAAAATGTGTTCTCTCTAACAGCTTAAGCTTTTAAATGAGATGGTCACACATTTCAATGTGGTATCAGAGCCATTGCTGCCTTTTTGAGGTAAGTGATCTCCCTCGCATCACTAGGGTTTCGTTTTTATTAAAGAGGTCGGGTTTTCTCTCTCATGGTGGCTGTGTGCAATACAAACTTCTTCTGGTTCCGTCGAGATAGATTTGGTTTCCGGCGAGGCAGATTATTTTTAGCAATTTTCTTCAGATTTCCTTCTGATTGGGCAAAAAATATGGAGACATTCAAAGAGACGGTTTATGGAGAAATCTTGTCTTCGGATGAAATTCAACTTCTCCGTCGCCTCCTAGCCAAACTTGACTCCGCTAATGTTGCCACATCCAATTATGTGCAATCAGGTACTGCCTTTGCTTCTCACCTTAATTCTTGGATTGTTGATTCTGGTGCAAATAGACACATGACAGGCTCTTCTAAAGGCATTCAAAACTATTCTCCGTGTCTCAAAGGAGGTAATGTTAAAATAACTAATGGTTCTTTAACACCTATCTCTAGAACAAGTTTTGTCGTTTGTATTCCTAATATTAAACTATCATCCGTGCTCCATGTCCCTAAGTTCCCTGTCAATCTTTTATCTGTTAGTGCCATCACCAAAGCTCTAAACTGTAAAATCTAGTTCTTTCCCGATCATTGTATTTTTGAGGATCTTCAAACAGGAAAAAAGATTGGCAGTGGTAGATTGCATGATGACTTGTATATATTAGATGGAATTCAAAACTCTGATCAAGCCTTTTTTGGGGAAAGTAAGGATGTCAACCAACAAATAATACAACTGCATAGACGGTTAGGACACGTATCATTCTTTGTTTTGAAGAAGTTATATCCCGATTTGTTTTCAAGGACTCGATTTGAATCTTTGTTCTGTGGTGCGTGTGAATATGCCAAGCATACTAGAAACTCTTATTTTGTGAGTGATAATAGAAACACAACTACGTTTATAACTATTCATTATGATATATGGGGTCCTACCTAAACTGTTTCTTTGTCTGGTAGTCGACGGTTTACTACTTTCATTGATTGTTGCACTAGGATGACTTGGGTATATTTCTTAAAGGCCAAAAGTGAAGTTTTCTCTTGTTTTCAGTCATTTCGTAAGATGATTTGTACTCAGTTTGATGCCAAAATAAAAATCTTGAGAACTGATGACAGCGAATACATGGATAATTATTTGGAGTTCAATGGGATAGTCCATCAGACTAGTTGTCCTTATACTAGTGCACAAAATGGGGTCGCGGAAAGAAAAAATAGGCATATGTTAGAAGTAGCAGGATCTCTTATGTTCACCATGTATCTACCAAAACCTTACTGGGGATGCTATTCTAGCGGCTGCCTATCTTATCAACATAATGCCACTTAAACCCCTCAATTTTCAAAGTCTTCTAGAAGCTTTAAAGGGTAAGAATGAATATACTGTTCTTCCAAAGGTGATAGGGTGTGTTTGCTTTGTCCACACTAGTAATTCTGGGAAACTTGATCCTAGAGTTATAAAGTGTGTTTTCATTGGGTATCCTTCGACACAGAAATGTTATAAATGTTATCATCCTCCCTTTAGGAGATCTTTTGTTAGCATGGATGTTACTTTTCGAGAATCTGATCCCTATTTCAGTATTACCTCATCACCTCTTTCGGGGGAGAGCATTAAGGAGGAATAAGTGATTCTACCTAGTTCCGTTACTAGAGCTCTTGATGACATTGTCATAGGGAAAAGTGAAATTGGAGAAAGAATTCAGGGGGAGACTATTGGGCGTTTGGATAGGCCTGATTTGAAAACTTACTCAAGGAGAAATAGAGCAGAGGAAGCCATCATGCAATCTACCGAAACTGAACCTTCTTTTGCTGGTGAGTTATCTTGATTTTCTACTGCGTTAGATGTGCCTATTGCTCAGAGAAAAGGAGAAAAGGAGCCAGATCTTGCACCACCAAACACCCTTTATCTAATTTTGTCTCCTATGATTCTTTGTCTCTCTCCTATGGAGCCTTTGCCTTGTCTATTTCTTCTGTGTCTATTTCCAAGAATTGGGGGGAAGCTTTTGCAGATCCTACATGGAAGCAAGCTATGATTGAAAAAATGAAGGCCTTGTCAAAAAATGAGACTTGGGAACTTATCACTTCACCACCAGACAAAGAAGTTGGATGGCTGCAAATGAGTCTTCACTGTGAAGCACAAAGTTGATGGCTCAATTGAAAGATTCAAAGTAAGATTGGTGGCTGAGGGATTCACTCAGACTTATGGAGTGGATTATCAAGAGACATTTACCCCTGTTGCTAAGATAAACACTATTAGAATTCTTTTATCTTGTGTAGTTAATCTTGATTGGAATTTGCAACAGTTTGATGTGAAGAATGCAATTCTTCATGGAGACTTAGAAGAAGAGGTGTATACGGAGATTCCTCTTGGATTTGATACTGCACAGAATCAAGGAAAGATATGCAGATTGAAGAAAGCCTTGTACGGACTGAAACAATCCCTCAGAGCTTAGATTGACAAATTCAACAAAGCAATGTTCTCAGGGTTACCAACAAAGCAATGTTGATCACACCCTCTTCATAAGACATCAAACGGGTAACTCACTCTTGTCATAGTTTATGTTGATGACATAGTAATGACATGAGATGACAAAGAGGAGATAACCCGATTGAAGAAGTTGTTGGCACATGAATTTGAGATCAAGGATCTAGGAAATTGCAAAAATTCTTGAGAATTGAGGTTGCTAGATCCAAAAGAGGAATCTTTATTTCTCAAAGGAAGTATATTCTGGATCTCTCGAAAGAAACTGGTATGACAGGTTGCTGACCCGCATAATCGCCCATTGAAAGCAATCACAAGTTACAAAGGGGAGTTGGAGAGTCGGTTGATAAGGAGAGATATCAGAAGTTGGTTGGAAGACTCATTTATCTCTCCCACACTAGGCCAGACATAGCCTATTCAGTTAGCCTGGTGAGTCAGTTCATGCATGATCCCCGATATCCGCATATGCGATCTGTCTTTCACATTTTGCGGTATCTGAAGTCTGCTCCAGGGAAAGGTCTACTTTTCTCCGAACATGATCACCTCCAAATAGAAGCCTTTACAGACGCAGATTGGGTTGGATCTCTAGATGACAGAAGATCTACATCCGGTTATTGTACGTTCGTGGGAGGAAACTTGGTTACTTATAGAAACAAGAAGCAAAGTGTAGTTGCTAGATAAGTGCGGAGGCAGAATATAGAGAGCTATGGCCCTGGGTGTTTGCGAACTGCTTTGGCTACAAAAGCTACTAGAGGAAAATTGAGACTGTCTGAAAAAGGAAAACTTCCCTTGTAATGTGACAATAAGGCTGCCATCAGTATAGCTTATAATCCAGTCCAGCATGACTGAACAAAGCATGTGGAAATTGATCGACACTCATCAAAGAAAAAGTTACAACTGGTGTCTTGAGTTTGTTTCAGGTGCCATCGGAAAAACAACTAGTTGATGTGTTTACCAAAGGTCTCAACAAGCGAGCTTTCCATACTTTGAGTTGCAAGTTGGGCATGTGCGACATCTTTGCACCGACTTGATGGGTAGTGTTGATTATATTTAGGAGATTTGATTTGATTTGATAGCTGGATTGATTGTATAGATTTATTTTATTTCCTTAATTAGCATTAGGAGCTTTATATAAATTCCCTTGCTCATGGGATGTAAACACACACAGAAATACAAGAAGCCTTTTCTTCTTCTCAAAATCTACATTACCTTATCAAAAAAAACTAAAGAAGTCAAGACTCTGGTTTTTCAGTTTGTCATGAAAAGATATAAGAGAAAAATTGGAAGCACAAAGGATTTGAATACGTTTGGCAGCAAAGATGATATGACATACCAATTTTTGTCTGCAGACATTGTAAACGGCAGTTTCTCATCCTATTGCCTCCACAACATGACATCAACTGCACATAATTCTAGATCACTATTAAAGACTGTAAACATACTAGTTTGCTCGTCTCAAGTTCTTAATTTGTTTTAGTATGCAGCAGCTAGGGCATGGACTAAATGGGAAATGATGACTGCTCATCTTCTCCCAAATGAAGAGAACATAAAGAGAGGAGATGCTGATGATTTCTCCTTGGTGAGTACGTTTATGAAGTGTATGCGGTATTCCGTTGACCTTCCCGTTGAAGCATTGTTCTTTTGCATCTATATTCTTAAACTCTGGCTACTCTGAACTTGAAATTATGATATTCTAGAATATTCAATGTGAACAATTATTTTCAATCACAGAGATTATTATCATTCTTTATTATAATATCAATATATCATGTGTTGTTCAGGCATTTGCAAGGATTGAGAACCACTACTTTATCAATAAGGGCTTCTTTTCTTCGGATTCTTTCCTTCTAGATAATGTTGAAAAGATAAAGCATATCAAGACAACAATTGTTCAGGTAAATTCTGCTTTCATTTCTACCTTCTGCTTTGCATTGCTTTCTCAAAGTTCAAAACTCCCATGTTATGTGAAGGCCAATCTGGAAACACAAAACATCCAGAAGATTTACTTTCTTTCCATATTTGGATGAGATTTTCCATGGAAAAAACGATATTGGGAAAGAACTGTGAGTGAAGGACATACATACAGGATGTAGTGCTAGCCGGTAGGGGATCAATGGTTGCCAGTGTTGTTAATTCTAGTTGTTGGTGACTGCCTTCTTGAATGGGACACAGGGATGTTTACTTTTCTCCCAGTGATGCTTTTGGATACTTTTGAGACCTGAATTTTCCGAATAAATTTCGAAGGAAATTTCTTGGTCTGGTGTCTTTATTTTTGCATTCATGGCTTCATGTGCTCCGAAATAATTGTGCTATTATGGTTCCATGGGAGTGTTCATAACTGAGGAGACACCATATATCAACAATCAATTTTGCATCCATTCTTAACCCACTCAAGTCCTCGGCATGCCTTTACTGGCAATTAGAAATTTTGGTCTCCGCTACCATCATAAATACTCAAGTGTTTATCCACTGTCTTTTTCTTTTTAGTGGTTGCCCATTTGTTGATTTCCAGTGCAATTGTTGTTTTGGCAGTTGCCACAAATCAAGCAAACTCCTAAGAGGGCTTATCGGATTTTATGGCCCTACAGGATCCTGCTGGGTTACTTGCATGAAAAAAATCCTTTTTCCAGGACTATGTGCTGCGAAAAAAAGAAGAAGAAGAAGAGATATTCCTGTGCTTCATATCATAAGTCTGTTTCTTGACTGTTGAACACCTATAAAGATCTCATACTTGAAAGCTGTAACAAAATTAGCTTGAGGTATATTATGCCGCTCTCTATTAACTGACTGTGCCATCTCCAAGTGGGTATAATAGCTCTATGAATCTACCTGTGAGGTGTTTTAACTGGACTCTTTCTATTACTCTCACGGTTAGAATTGTTATGGACAATTAACAGCTTGCAGCTCCTCGAGTGACCACTTTTTCCGCTACCTGCTATTGAGTATCACAGCCTAAGCGATTCAATTAACATAGTGGCTGCAGTTGTACCAATGAGATCCGGAGCTAGCCCCTGTAGTTGTCGGATACACCTAAAGTACCATTATGACTACCATCCACCAGCATTAACTTTATTCCTTAAGAATGGGTGTTTCGAACCACAAAATCACCGCCTTAAATTTGTTCATTAGTCGTCCGTCTAATGCATGATGACTTAGTTACTGAAATCTGCTATTGCTTACTACTGAACATTATTGCTGTGATTGCAAAATATGATTGGTTCCTGCGTTGATTGGGGAAAAGTGGGATGGAATGGGAATTTATGTATTTGTAACGAGGATCAGGATGGTGAGTAGCTCTGTGATATGAAGACAATGCCAACAGCGGCAAGAAGTACAAGAGTGTGATAGAAATGAGATTGCTGGATGAAATATTGGATGAGGTTTTTCTTTCAACAGATTTCTGGAGTTTAGCTATGTGATTTTATATTTATTGCGATTTTATTTTCTTTGAAAGTATATTTTCCATTGCCATATTTTTCCTATAACCTGCTAATACAGTATTACAGTTTAAATAATGATAATGATACGAGTAAAGAGCTGGCCGAGTTTCGAATGTATGTTGCCAAAATGGAAGTGCATTAATTTTCCATAGTGCTTCTTGATGTAATCATGTGAGTTTACCTAAAACATCCACTTAGTGTAGTTGACAACTGTATGGTCCACCAGATATTGGCTTAAATTAATCATTGAACATGCATATTTAAGTTGTCAGATGTCACTATGTTTGACTGTTTTCCTGTCATTATGTATTGTCAATCTAAGATGTATATATGTGTCCCTTTAAAACCCTACACTAAACATGAATCTTATATATTCTGCATGCATCTGAGGTGAATTGTATTCCTGGACAATCTGAAAGCAAGAAATTTTTTCTTAATGCACTTTCAGGGAAGATATGACGTTTGCTGTCCAATGATGTCAGCATGGGATCTTCATAAAGCTTGGCTGGAGGCAGAGTTCATAGTAAGTAATATGTGATTTGCTAAGTTAAGTAGTTGCGGAAATTCAACATATGGGAAGGGGGTTATGAATCACATCTTACATTCTCGTCTTCTCAAGTTGATCATACCTAAGCTGCTCCATCTGTTTCTCAATTTGTCTCTTTTTTGGGCTATTACGCCTTGAATGATAGTTTGCTTTCGTACTTGAATGTTTTGTATGAAAGTACATTTGTCTAGATATTCTTTAGGAAATTTATCCGAGTGCTCATCTTTAGTCTTATAGACTTGAAATATATATATTCAGATGCATAGTTTCCGGTGCAATGTCTTAAAGTTGCACCCTTGGGTGTCTAACTTAAATAAAAGAGGGCCTTCCACCATTTGATATGGAGAGAGTAGGGACAAAGAAATGCCTACAGCTAATCTGGAGGGAAGAGTAGTTCTTTTAATTTTTTTTTTTTTTTTCTTAAAAGGAACTGGAGGGAAGAGATCTTGAGACAAAAAAACCAAAGGTAGTGTTAAACTGGCGATTGGGACCAGAAATAGCGAAGGGACCCCCCTAGTACAAACATGGTAGATTTACCAATAGTCATTGATTTGAGATTTCTATGAAGAGTTGGGATGTGGTTGAGACCAAATAAATATTAATTTCATATTTAAAAAAAACCTCGAATCTGATGTGTATTTGGGTGTGGGAAATGAAAACTCACTAAAATCAAGATATGTAATGAGCTGACACAATGGTTTGAATCCTCCAACCCAACACGATATTTACCCAGGAAAAATAATAGCTGAAGAAACAAGGCCGCCTTTACCCAAGAAACGTCTTCTTTACCACAGGAAAACTAAATTGAAAAAAAGAGGAAGTAGTTTTGTACTCTTCGCAAATGAGCTAATGTTTTACTTAAATTTGTGTACATGCTCTTTTTTTNTCTCTCGATTCAATCTTCGATTTTGGAGATCGTATCATTGGTATCAGAGCTTTCCTTTCCTTGGATCCGTGAGTGGAAATGGGTGAATTCAGGAATTACGCAGGGATCTCGATGGACTTCGTGGGTCCTTCGATGGCATTAGTGGTAGTATGGAGGAGTTGAGGAAGACTGTCGATGAGAAATTGGCAGCGTCTATGGAGGAATTCAAGAGGATCTGACTGGCAACTATTGGTAATTAGAGACCAACAGACGAAGTTGTTCCTAATCGACCTAGGCAAGAGGAGTTGAAGATGAAGAAGCTGCTCCTGAAGTTACCAGCGCTCGAAGGGATGATGGATATCAACTGCCTATAAGAGGGCATCAACTGAATTTCCTAGGTTTGATGGAGTAGACTTGCATGATTGGTTGTATCAATGTGAGTAGTACTTTGAAGTAACTGAAACTCCAGCAACCTCAAGCAACCTCAAGACTCAAGATGGCTTCTTGCCGGCTTGAAGGTAAGGCTCTTCAATGGCATCAAGGTATATGTGAGTAGTCTATATTCTAAGTTTGGATCTGAACATTTTAATGATCCAATGGGGGACTTGAAGGTTCTGAAACAAACTTCCACTATGTAGTATTTCATAGATGTGTTTGATGAATTGCTAACTCGAGTAGAGTTGAGTGAGGAGTATATTGTTAGTTGTTTCTTGAGGAGTCTTAAAAAGGAAATTGGACTACCAGTGAAAATGTTTGCTCCCAGATCCTTACAAAAAACCATCGGCCTTACAAAAATTCAGGAAGAAACATTACTTCTCCAAAAAGAAACTCTGAGAACCACCCCAATTCTTTCACAACCTAGATTTGTCCACAGATTCCCAAATAATCCTCATAACAGTAACCAAACTTACCCACTCTATCCTAAATCCAGCCAAAACATCCAAAGACCCCAGAACTCTCAAGCTGGAACCAGCAAAACCATATATAAAAATCCCAAATTTCTGAGTCCTGCAGTGATGGAGGAAAAGATAGCTAAGGGCCTTTGCTTCCATTGTGATGAGAAGTACACACCTGGACATGTGCGCTTTAAGAGGAGGCAATTATTTTCCATTGAGGTAGAGGAACCAATAGAGGAAGTGAGGGATGAGGAAGTAGACATGACTTTCACCCCTTCTGAGTTCTTGTGTTTGGAAGGAATAAAAGGCCATGTGGATTCTGATGGAGTTGTCTTGGCTTATGTATCAGTGCATGCCATTACTTGTATGTACAATTTTAGGACAATGTTCAAAACTATGAGGGTCACAGGATCTGTGAAGGGCAAAGATGTTAAGATTCTTATTGACACATGCAACACACACAATTTTATAGACCTTGGGATAGCTAAGAGGATGGGATGTTAGTTGACTCAGATACAACCTTTCTCTGTATCAGTAACAGATGGTAACAATATGTACAATGGGTCCATGTGCAAAGGTTTTGCGTGGAGGATGCAAGGAGTAAAATTCATATCATTAGATAAGTTAGTGAGGCCATATAGCCATTAGAATGCTCATTTGATAGTTTTCCACTTGCTCATTCACTTTCATAAAGATCCACTTCTAGAGTTCAATCAATACCTCAATTAAATCATGAATTCTACTCATAAACACCTTCTACATACCCATTTATATACAATTAGTCAAAAGACAAGAAGTACAAAATTTTAAGAAAAATAAATAAATATTATTTTAAAATTTGTGGTTATATACTAGAAGTTAAATGAGAAAATGTAAAATCATAAAAATGATGATAGTTGATCATATTTAACAGAATCAATAAATGGAGAAGCTCCGCCCCGTCGAAGTCATCAAAATCCTAAATTTTAGTTCTGCCAAATGCGCGCGCGCGCGCGCACACACACACACACACATAATAGATTATACTCGTCAAACAAGATATTTTTAATGCAGACATAATGTCACGACCCAAAATTCCACTTGAGGATCGTGAGGAACTAGGTAAGCCTAACACATGCTGAGATTTAACAAATTTAAACCATTTAACTATTAAATATAAACTAGTAAATGACATAACATAGCCGAAGATGAACAATTATTATACATCCCCAAAACCAGTAATACGAAGTCATAAGCTCTATTGAGAGTGCACTAGAAATCGCTAAATACAACATTGTTTAGAGATAAAGTAAACAGTAGCAAAGAATAATAGAAGGTGACTCCGAGGCCTGCGTGCAAAAATGCAAGTATACCTTGAAGTCTCCACAACAACTCTGATAATCAGCTCGCTGTCGCCTAGCTCTAAGGTACCCGGATCTACACAAAAATGTGCAAAAACATAGTATGAGTACACCACAATCGGTACCCAGTAAATATCAAGACTAACTCAGTGGAGTAGTGATAAGGTTCAAGTCAAGACGCTCACTAATCAAATAACCTGTGAAAAATATCAAACATCGGAAAAAAGAATAATAACATAAAGAAATATAAACTAAAATCTCACCAGCTTAAGCGATAACCAATTAGTAACAATAAAGGTCCAGTTCCGACGATAAATCATCAAATAGAATCACATGTAACCGGCACCTCGTGCCTACTTTATCAATCACCCTCGCACGGCAAAGACCTCATGCCACAATATAGGTCACACTCGCAAGGCAAAGACCACGTGCCACAACATATACCACAACCGCACGACAAAGACCTCGTGCCATAATGTTTATCACAACCTCACGGCAAAGAACTCGTGCCACAATGTATATCATAACCGCACGATAAAGACCTCGTGCCATAATGTATATCATAACCGCACGATAAAGACCTCGTGCCACAACATTTACCGTACCTGTGTCAGTTACCAATAACACGTTCAAGAGAAATTTATCAAGAATCAAATAAAGTAATGCACGATAACGACTTCTTTTTTATTTCATTTCGTTATGTTACCAACTCCACAGAATATGAGATAACAACTCCACGTAGGTGAATTTACCTTGGCAACCAAATCATCAAGTAAATGAAAGAGACACAGATAAGCACATTGGAAACAACACAACAAAACACGTGAAAATGTATGACACACACAAGAAGTCATATCACCACACAAACCTCATCAATAAAACGCCCCCAGGCCATCACATATCATCCGCACATAGCCCCCTTGTCTCGTCGCGTGCACAACAATAAAGTAAAGGCCCATCTTGTCTTGCCACAAGCTCATCAACAATTATCCCACCTTGTCTCGTCACATGCGCAAACCATATGCGCGCGCGCACACACACACACATATAGTCCGCCTTGTCTCGGCGCATGTGCAATATCAATAATAACAATAGCACGACAGAAACCTCGCGCAAACACCTGAACAATCCTCCCAACAAGTTCACATGTGCCATAATCACAACAACACAACATGCCAACAATTGTTATCAAGATAAAAACTTACAATCTACCAACACAGTGCACAAGGATAAACCAATAAAGGAAATGCGGATGGGTGTTCAACTTATAAACACGAATTCAACCAACTCATTAGGAAATTAAAATCCTAAAGCATGATCTCTAGCACAGAACATAGATTCAAGTAATTATCCAAAGAGAAAACACGTGGTACATGGACCTCTCAACCCGAACAAGACAATAGAAACAACCTCGGGTCAAATCCAGTCATAAGGCACATATACGTCCATGTACACACCCATCACCTCGTGTACATGTCGCTTACACATAACACAAATAAGCAATTAAGCCAAATCCTAAGGGGTAATTTTTCCATACAAGGTTAGGCAAGATACTTACTTCAAAAGTCCTCAATCAATACACTAAAAATGCTTTTCCTCTAAAATTCACCTCCGCTCAGCTCAAATCTAACCAAAATCAACTTAATAGCATCAAACAATGCAAGAGAAACCAATTGCAATTAATAAAGTTAAAGATCTTTACACAATTCTCCAAAAGTCAACAAAAGTCAACCCCGAGATTGCCCGGTCAAAACCCGAGTCGAAGGGTAGATCTTGACTACCTGTAATCCCACGAGTCCAAATATGTATTTGGTTTTTAAATCTGAGTCCAATTCGACTCTCAAATCTCAAATTTTTATTTTTCAAACTATAGTAAAAAATCCGCAAAATTTCTCTTCAATCTCA